GCGCCAGCAGTGATGACGGCAGCCCAACAGCAGCTACTACAGCGCGTTCAGCAGATGCAGCAGATGCAGCAGCAACAACAACAGCAGCAGCCGCAGCCACGACCGCCAGCGGCCAACGTGGCGGCGATTCTACAGCAGCTTTCGTCAGGGCAGATCAACCCGGCCATGCTGCCGCCGCAGCTCATCGTGTTCTTGCTCCAGAACGCACAGGCCCAGTTGTCGCCCAATCAGCGCGAAGTGCTGCAGCGTCTGTTGGCTCACCACATGCAAATGCAGAGCAACTCGGCTACTTCAATTCGCCCCGGACCTGCACAATGACCTTTTTTCACTTTAGCGAAACAAAATTTGACATCCAGGTCACTTGACAACCTTGAATATATAAGAAGGGTCATATCCCGCATACCACAAATCAGCTAAATAGCACCTGCTTTTCTTTCCCTCATCGGCCTTTTATTATTTCCCGCAATGTTAACTATAGTACTAGGCGTGCTATTGCATGCTATATGGGCTGCCGGCGGTTTTCTGCCCAAAACTCCTCGGTTTCAGCACACAATGGAGATATTCGACGGGCAGATGTGCGTATTTGGCGGCAAAAGTGTGTCAACATCTGTCAATATCGATGACTTTCTGCTCGACTATCGATGTGTTGACGTCACAAAGACTGTGGAACAGGCACAGCCCAAATGGAAACTGCAAAACTCGGCATCGCAGTTTGCCATGCCGCCGCTAGCACAGCACACAACAGTATATGACCGAGTCAACCACGTCATTGTTCCGTTTGGCGGGCAGTCGCCGAACGGGTTTTCCAAGGCAATCAACCTGGCCGTGTACTGCTCAATGTTCCAAGCGTGGGGCGCATCCAACGTGCTCGACCGCGATATCCGGCGCTACGTACACACATCCGTGCTACAAGACAAAACAGGCGATATGATTATCTTTGGCGGTGCCAGCGACCCCACCACAGCCGACGGCCAGGACCTGAATGCTGGCAATGGCGAGCGCTGGTTCGACGTTAACCGTCTTGTATTAGACGACGCTCGACACAACGCGTACAACACATCGTCCAATGCCACGCTTGGCTCTATTCTCAAAGACGACGGCCAAGGAACGCCCGACGTTATTCGCGGTGTCATCCACCACTCGAGCGTGCTGCTCAACGACACGCTTATGGTGGTTCTGGGCGGCGATGTTTATGTAAACGAATCGGCAGTTATGCAGCCGTTCGACTTGCTACACATTTATAACGTCGATACAATGAAATGGCACACGCAAGAGTGCACAGGCGACATCCCCCCCTTGCGCTGTGCTTTTTCGGCATCCCAGCATGAGCGCCACATTTACATGTTTGGTGGCGTCAATGTCAACGACTGGTCGACATTTTTCAACGACTTGTACGAGCTCGATACACTAACATGGACATGGCGGAAGATGCCCACGCCTAATGCACCGTCACCGCGTTACGCGCATCAAATGAAGACTCTTGGTAAATATCTAATTGTAACCCACGGCTTTATATACTACGAAGACGGTACAAACGGAGGCGACGAGGACATTTACTTTTACGATCTGCAAAAAGAGACGTTTGTCACTCGGTACTCGCCCAGTGGTATCTCCAAGCGCGAGCTGGACACGGAATGGCGCGTGCAGCGGACAGGCGCAACCGACGCAGTGTCTGCCGTTTGCCTGCTGCTTGTAGTATTGGTCGCACTAATCGCCGTCTACTACATGCTCTCCATGCTTTTTACGCGATCGCGTCCACGCCCGCGCCGGCAATCGCGCGGAGAAGGCATTCTCTCGTTTGTCGAAAGCTATACGGAGACTTTTCGTCCGTCCACGCACCATGCACGCGCATCGCAAGACACGGCTATGTTTGCCACTGAAACCAAGCTAGCCGGTCTAAACGCCCGCTCTCACTCCATGTCTGAAGGCACAACTACTATTATCGAAAACGAACAGCAGACAAATGCTTTGCGCGAGTCCAAACGACATGCACGAATTCTTGATGAGGATGCTGCAACTCCATATGTTAGCCGCAAGCTCACGCTCTCAGCCCGCATTCCCACATACAGCTCGCGCAGAAACTCGGCCCACCAAACGGTCCACTTCACCCCGAGTACACAGTCCGAAGACATCATTGAGCTCAACACCCTAAGCTCGCATTCCGACGACGATAGCCTGGATGAAATTAGAAGCCCTCTAGCCATCACCAACTAGTTTCTCAATATATCACGTGACTGTTACTGCTGCAGGCAAAAAATTTGTGGTATCAGTGGGATTCGAACCCACGCCTATTTCTAGACCTGAACTTGAGTCAGGCGCCTTAGACCACTCGGCCATGATACCGTTGAAGATTCCAAGCTAATTCGCCTGTTTTCTTGTTATAACTATTCCTAAAAAATAGTATTTAGAGAAAAACACTGGCTATTTAATTACTGGCTATATTTGCCACCGGTGAATTACCAAGTTGTGTTTTATGACATCTTATAAAAAAAACAAACGTGTCAAACTCTCATGTTATGACAACACTTTATTACAAAAATAGGGTTTACTAGTTAAACTCTACAATAATAGTGAAACCATCCATATAATCGGTAATCAAGCCCACACCCACATCACTAATTATAATTTTCTTGCAATTGATACCAACCAACAAGCTATTAATCCAGCCAAGGTCAATCAAGTCATCTGGAAGGGAATAATAGCGGATATCTTCAATACTAACATAGTCAGTGTTTAATAGCGCACAGTTCATTATTGCCTCGCTTACATTTTCTTC